TTCCACATGTCCGTCCAAGAGCACCTCCTTCCTTCGGACCCCAGCAATAAAATTGTTCAATCATATTTTCGTTGCTTCATGTGAGTTTATATAAATGTAACTGATTTTGTTGAGTAGATATATGATATGATCTCATTTCAATCACAGGCCCCGAAATTGAATCAAATTGCAACAGAATAGTGGCAGACTAATATAATATCGTATCGTGATGGAACTAAATAATGAGCGGGTTATTAGCACCGTGTTACTCCAACCCTAGTGTGTGTATTAGCAAATACAGCAAAAAAAGGGAACACAAAATGTACCCATAATGCTTTGGGGTCGTGCGTTTGCAAGCATTAATAAAGAAAAAGCATTCAAAATGTTTTCATGCCACAGCAACATGTTTACTTTGGGGTGTAAACTATCGGAGTTGCGATGTTTACACGAGTTGAACCCAAACCAGGTGATCTGAGTGGGAACAGAAATCTTCCTGCATCTAAACACAGTGATTAATGTCGATATTAACACTTACACACACACACACACACACACACACATCGCACATGCACACATACACAACTTAGCGGTGCAGATTGCGAATTGGCATCTCTCTTTTTCTCTCTCTTTCTGCGATGCAAAATCCCACGTCATCTTACAAAATGCTCTGCTTCCAAATTGATTTCACAGAGCAAGAACCCCCCCCCCCCAGAGATTAACAAAGTAAATTCCACTTCTGCTCTCCAAAAGAAGCCCCCGAATTTGTCGCTTAAACCTAAGATTAGCAGACCTGACAGGATTTCCTTGAGACTATACGTCCTTTATCTGTGATTCTAGGTGCTATTAATTGTGGATGGTGTCTAATGTGTGGTCCATTTGCTTCATTAATGGGGCAGACGCAAGCCGCTCAGCCAAGAAAACGCCTATTGTTCCCTTTACCTTCCCGTTTTTTAATGTGCGGCATTAGTCCGGCAGTTGTTAGTGCTCGACCGTAGTGCTTTGCTGATGGTCAAATGACAAAGTGTTAATAGAATATAGTGGGATGGGCAGGACAAAGGTGGGCAATGTTCGGCTGGATGCAGCCAATTTCTGTGTGAGAGGCCTGCCTAAAAACCCTATTCATAGGCCGTCTAATGCTGGTGCGTAATTAAATGTGATTACTGGAGCAGAGGGCTTCTCTCTCCCTCTCTGAGGGCCACACACAGGACTGGAGGCAGCGTGCATGCCCTCATTAAGGAGGCGCTAACAGATGTACACAAGCACCGACCACAGGCATACCTAAAAACCCACGCCGTATCTCTCTCCCTGATACACAAACATAAACAGAAGTGCAACATCGTGTATCTCCAAAATGTCAACTTCTCAGACGCAAAGGAAAGCAGGATTGGATTTGAAAGGGAATAAACCCAAGGGTGGATAGATTTGTTTTAAGCGAGGAGTATTTAATCCTCCAACTGAAGTTCAAACAGGAATTGCAGTTGGGAGGTTTCTACCTGACAGTTTGAAGCCGACCCTACGAAGCCTCCAAAAAGCACAAAAATAAACACATACCAAGTAATAAATAAAAATCTGGCTAAACTATGACCTTCAGTCAGTGATAATCATAAAGCAAACACGCAGAAACATAAACAAAAATCAATTATGGCTTCCATCCCCACTCACACACACACACACACACACACCTTGTCTGGCCCGCTCTCCGGTCCAGTTTCCAGGACAGACACGGTCCCCTGGCGCTCATGGGAAATAGTGAGCATGCCAGGCCCCACAAAGGCGTCCTTTCAGCCGCCCGCAGGCTTGACCTGTGCGGGGTCAGCGCTCTGCTTTGTGCCCCGCGACCCCTGAGTGACCCGGGGTCATGTTGAGGGCCCGAGGTCAAATCCAGATGCCTGCGTCTAATTTCGCCCCAACTGGGTTATCCGTCCAAATCTGCCCGAAAATTTGCCCCCCGCCTAACCCACCCTAAAACCCACTACTACCTCCGCACATGACTGAGTCCCATAGAAATACATAGGTACTCTGCAGCCTAATTGGACTACTGTGGAGTAGTGCTCACGCTAGAGCTCTCTCTCATACTCTGTCTCTCTCTCCCTCTCTCTTTCTCTCTCTCTCTCTCACACACACATGCTGGCCTGACCCCCTGTAACTGCACTAATACCCCATCCCATGGCCTTTGGTCTATCTTGAGGGATTAGGTGCAGAAAGACACACATACAAGCACAGATACATCCCCACACACACACACACACATGCGTGCACACACACTTACGAGCGCAGCAGGCCTGGCTGAGGGTCTACCTTGAGGGATTAGGTGCAGAGAGACAGGACCCTCCAGCCAATCAACCGGTCTGTCACATTGATTTTGAGGGGTCACTGGTGCACAATGGCCAGGGTTTTCCTGTCTTAACCTCTCTGATCACACACATATGCACGCACACACTCATAGGCATGCCCACGTCGTGACAATAAACATTATTTATGTCATTTCAGTAAAAAGCCAGGGCTCGAAAAACTGTTTCTGGGAGGGTTAAATGCTGAATAAATATATATATATATATATATATATATATATATATATATATATATATAAAATATTACATATTACATATTTAAGTTAATAAAAGTGTGTTTTCAGAGTTAAAGATGATTTAAAAGAATGTACAAATTTGTCGGACAGGACTTTCTACAATCTTGCCACAAACACACACACACACCAGTCTATACAATTCAAAAATTCCCTCCTGTCTGCCTCTCAAAGCTTCATCACGTCTGCTTCTGAAAATCCTCCGTCCCCCCGGGGGAAAGCACACCCGGCTAAGCGAAAGCTCCCAGGTCAAACCCCCCCCCCCCTTCCAAACCCTCTCTCATTCTTCTCTTTCCTGGTCAAACAACACAATAGTCGTCTATGAGAGAGGGCACCGGACAGGCGCTTTGACCGACTGAAATAAACCCAAATACAACATTTCAGGTGTTCGGGCTGAGTATTTTCTTTGTTGTCAACCATGATTTGCCCGTTGTGTTTTAGTCTTTTTTTGTCGTCCCCCCCCCCCCTCACACCTCCCATCCCTGTGTTGCCTGTTTCCCTTTCCTGAAGGGAATCGTTGTGGCATCTGGAAAAACAGGATTCATGCAAGTCTGTTGGTATTGTTATGATTACAGAGCTCGTCAGCGGTGGAAGAACTTGTCGGGTTCCTTCAGTTAAGTAAAAATAGCAACACAACATGTGTGTTTGAAAATATTCAATTACAAATAAAAGGCTTTCATTCAATATCCTACTCAAGCAAAAGCACAGAAGTATTATAAGCAACATGTGCTTAAAGTATCAAAAGTAAAAGTACTCATGCTGCAGAAAGATGGCCCTTGTGACTGTTATATTACATGTGAAGTTATTAGATCGTAGGTCGTTTTGTAGAGTTCAGACTCCTCCAACGGATTACAAGATAAATCTGGAGGGTCGTGAGATTATTATTGTAGCAGAAGAAAAATAAAAACATAAATGCCACATTTCTTTTTTCTCTCTTATCTTTACCTCTACATTTTTTCGTGTGAAATATTTGATACTTTGACCACTTTGGGCCTTTATCAATTATATTTAAAGAAACCTATCTGAAAGGTTTAGAGGGGGAAATTAAGCATAAAGCAACGGATTGCACCTAGCATGTAATTTGGTTTAATTTGGACCTGCGGTTTTCAGATCCTTTTCTCAGGCGGTCTTTGATATATTTGATAGGTGTGATTCAATAGTTCCATATAAGTTAGGCCCAACATAACTCCATGGCTAGAAAACATAATTATGGAGGAGTTGGATGATGACGAGGCGCTCCTGTGCTGAGTAATACCAAGCTTGTTGTTGTTGTTGTAGCAGTAACGTTGCTGTTATTAGGTTACAGCCTATGATCACAACCCTAAGGACAATATAAAGACCTGTAGATATCATCTTTCATACAGGATTTACACAACATGAGCGCAACAATACATTCCTGGGCCAGTGGCAACAACATGAAAGCAGATTAGCCTAGTGAGCAGCTCAATGGCATAAACAAGCACATACTGCCCCACCAGGATTACTATTTCTTTTCACAGTCAGTGAGTACAGCCTATTGTGCTCAGAGTACAGCGTTATATATTTTAGATGAACCTCTAACTTATCTGGGTGGTGTTCAGAACGTAAACACATGGCCTTCCAAATTGAAATAGACAACCAGTTTTCATCATTTCTATGGATTTACTCAGCTTTCAAGGCAAAGAGTATATGCATAAGGAATACACTGTTTAAATTGTGAAGCTAAATGTACTGTGATGGAAGTATAAACTGTGGTTGACACGTGCAGTTAAACTGTGGGGCTTGCTAACCTGGTGCGATACCCGCCACCGGGTCTCAGCCATCTGCCTCCGCGGAGGTGGACCGTTATGGGGCTCAAGTTGAGACGGGATGAAGCAGCTGAACATGTCGCAGGGCTGCGGGTCTCTGGGTCGCTGCCTCAGTCCCGCTGATGCTCGGGTCCTCTTGGATGCTGGACTTGTTCAGAAGCAGGACAGCTGACTTAGTGGCTGCTGGGTCACTGTCTCTTCTATCAACGTCCTGGACTCATTGCCAGCGAGCCCACTTTTTGAAAATAAATAGTGTTATGTTTTTCCAAAGTACAATGTATCTAATATATTTATTTAGCCTTTCGCTCGGCTGCTCCACTGTCTTTTAACCATGTTTTTATTTTTATTTTATCCATGTGTGTTCGTTAGCAGCTATCTTAAAATATTCACGGTCACACACATCTGACTCTAAGTAAACATTGTTGGTGTTTAGGTAGTAAAATGGGGGAGTAATGTACTGTAGTAGATATTAAGTAAAGTACACAGAAATGATTATTTATGCTGGAGGAAAGTAAAGAGGAAAGGAAAACAGGAGATTAAATCCCAAATATGTTCATTACCATGATGTGACCACTAGTGGGCGCCCGAGTGTTTCTAGCGAGATGAAACCACCAGGCTGTCTCTCTCACTTCCTCGACTGTAATCTCTACTTCCTTGATACGTGCTCGGGGGACTAAAAAAAAAAGTCTATGCTGGATTTGTGTGTTTTGGAAAAGAGTTCATGTTGACTTGTTGCTTACAAACCGCACGAACACGCAATTTTTTTAACGATAAATGTCCGTTTGATGTCAGGAAATCATATATGATGACGTGATCGGGACAGCCCCGCAACCGGCGCACAAGTCTCAGATACACGTGAGTTAACGTTCAGCTAACTAACTATTAGCGTTAATGAGGCTACTAACGTAAACAGTAGCTTGCTAGCTAAATGCCACAGTATTTATGATATTCTGGTTTTCATTTTAATATATATATATATATTTTAATTCACGTTCGTATTAATGTGTATTCTACAAAGACTCAAGTGTGTGAAACGATAAACTCGGTTGTCTGTGTTTTCTCTCACAGCGCCACGTCACTGATCGGCGGAAGAGTCAGAGAAACAAACCCGGAATACAGTCCCGAGTCCCCGCTGCGGACTAGCTATCAGACACCGTTTGTTTGACAGTTTCTTACCAAAAGAAGACCAGTCGATACGCGGTGAAGATGACTGCGTCTAACTGGGGTCTCATCATGAACGTGGTGAACAGCATCGTAGGAGTCAGTGTCCTCACCATGCCCTTCTGCTTCAAACAGGTGGGCTGTCTGCACTCACTGTTTTTGTTGGATTTACATGTAAGCAGTGCATTTTAACTGCATATATATATATACATATATA